AGCTCTCCGCTGACAGACTTCCTCCTCACGGGGACAAACAGCTTCACAAAAGCCTCCAGGTAGGAGTAGACGAGCGTGCCCAGGAACAGAAAAGTTTCCACAAACAGATTCATTGTTTTTTTCCGAGGGTCGTTTGATGGCCGAACTGAACTTTTATCTCTTTTGACGGGGACGTGGGTTGTTGATTTACCAGCTGCCCGCGCCCGTCTCAGCGCTCACTGCTCGTCCTGTCCGTTCCCGGCAGGATCCACCCCCGCGCCGCCCGTCCCGGGCAGGGGGCGGGAGCCCGGGGGGCTGCTCCGCCCAGCCCCGCACGGAGCTCTCCGTGCCCGGGTGAGCGGTTCTTGTTCTTGTTTGTCGTCTGCAGCAGGTGCAGGAGGGACAGAACTGGCAATAAATTTGCTCATCCAGTTACCGGCAAAAGCACCTTGAAGTTCCCCTCAACTCTGTGTTGTGTGGCTCAAATCCTGCTTTGTGACTGTCCAGTCGCTCAGTTCCATGAGGTCCTTGAGTGGTTTTCTTCATGGTCCTTCCTTCCATTGGGTATCTGTCCATTGTCAGCAGACTTTGTCCCAATACCTTCCTCTTCCAGATCACTTAAAGAAAGCTGAATGAGACAAGTCCTTTCAACTTGTGGAACTCCATAGGTGAGGTCTTGCCTGGCTGCTCTCTTTTATTCTTTTTTCTAATTAGTGATTCATACTCAGACCTTTCATCTTATGCTATGGCTACTTAGTTTCCTCAAGTCCTTTGGAAAACAGCATTGACTGAGTGAATTGGGTCATCCTTATCTAATTGAGTCTAAAGCACACAACTTGCTTGTGTGTAAGGGTGTATTCAGAACCTTAACCAGAACAGGAGTGTTTATGGGAAATAGGAGAAAAGTAGTTTCAGGTGGTTTTTCCAGCTCCAACAATGTAACTGCATGGTCTTACTTGAAAAGGATTGCTGACCTTACTCCTCTGCTTTTCAGTTAGAAAACTAGATGTATCACAGTCATGTTCATAATTTTATTTAAGCATATTTTTAAGCTGCTTGGGGAAGAGTGAAGGTTTCATGAATATCTGTCAACTGACCAAAATCAGCCTCCAGTTAAGATTACAGTTCTTGAAAAGTACTGTTTTTGTCCTGGTGGTTTGGATGCATTGTTGCTAACCTTGTCTGTGAGAGACTGGGTAAGCTCCAGCAGAGCCATTCCAAGCTAGGCACTTCCTCCCTTCCTCTTGGAACTTCATTCTCTGCTTAATTAACACATCAGCATTTGGGCCCGACCCTAATTGCACGGCTCAGCGGTGCTGTCATTTTCCTGGCACAGGGCTCCAGTCAGTGCCGTGGCCAAAACAGTGAAGGCAGGCAGGGCATAGAACCATTGTCTCTAAGAGATACCTCAGCAGGAGGCAGAGCACAAGGCCAGAGTCACCAGCCTGACTCATTATGAGTCCTAAGCCAGGGTGTGAGATACCACTCTTCAAATTTGGGACTTGGCTGTAGGTGGCTATATGAAGCCTGCTCACATAGGCTCCTGCTGGGCACCAATAATGACCAGACTATGGGACAAGCTTCTGTTGGCTGCTGTGGCCAGAAAGAGAACTGAGAAGCCTGGGAAGCTTGATGAATCAATTCTGTCACTGGTGTTCAGGAGATGAAGGCTTAACTCCTTGCTTTTTATATGTTTCTTTATGCCAAGCAGAAGACTTGCAGCCATAGGAGACACAGAGAACAACTGCAGCCACATATGAAGTACTGCACAAGTTGCCCTGCCCAATAATTCCTCTGGGCTCTGAGAGACTAGACTAGATCTGGCAAGATGGGAGTGAATACAGTTTCCCTTTCCTTAGGACCAAGTATGCTGAGAAACAGACTCTGCAGGACAGCGCTGTCTGTCATTCCCTAGATGGATTTCTGTCTTCCAATTTAATGCTGGCATGAGAATCTGAATAATGCACAAGGCTAGTGGGAATGGTGTGCCAGGAGAAGCCAAATATCTTGTCTGATGTGTCCTACTGAAGCCAGTATGACAAGAGGGCCTAGTCATCGGGACATTGACTTGAATATCTCAGGGGTCTTTTTGTGCTTTTTCTTTGGAGTCACTGGACCATATTGCACGCTTTTCTGAAGAACCTGTTTACAGGACAACAAGAAATGCTCAGGTGAGCATGGAATCCAACTGTGCCAAAGGTGGCAGCATATTCAGGCCTCCCTCAGATGGCTGTGAGCCAGCAAGTCCCTGCAGTGGCTGGGAGTTACACAAGTAGCTGCACAGATAATCTGTGCTTCAAAGGGATCTTTGACCCGTGTTTCATCAGGTGCTGCTCTCTTGTACCACAGGCTGAAGGCCTTTGGGGATTTAACCTCCTGGTCAAGGTGGGTCCCATCAGATCAGGCCACTGGCTTGTCATGAGGAGCTGAGCGAAGGCTCATCTGGAGCCTTTTCCCGTGTACTCTCTTCCCTGGCACCCACCTTTAAGCCCTGGCCTTGGCCCCAGCCCTTGTGTGAGCTGTGCTGGTGGTGTGCCATGCCTGGCCCTGTACCTCATTGATCCTGATGTGACTTCCTGGTGTGACCATGGGACCTGCCTCATCCCTTGCAGCCTGGCCTGGTGGTTGGCAGGCTCTGGCTGACCCTTTTACTTTTGCACTTGCTCCACTGTCCTTTCTTGGACCTAGTTCCCATCTTCATTGCTGAGAGACACTTTTGGGTTAGAAAAATGTATTTATTTGAAATAAGGAGTGTTGATGGTGCTAAGGCATAATTGATAATCAATGTAATTAGGCATTACATTACAAACAAGGCTGTATTATTTCAATAATACAATTAATTAAAATAATTCAATAATACACATTACAAACACACATGAAACTGTAAGTGTTCATTAGAGCATATTTTCTTACATTTAAAAGATAAATTGAGGTGAAACAGGCCACCTACCTGCTGTATAAACTTTTTCTTGCAAGACGCTTTTGCTCAGGAATGAGTCCATGTTAACATATTTTCAGGCAATCCCTTGGCACTCAAATAGGCAGCTGTGCTGTCCCAAATACAGGCTTTGTGGGAATTCCTGTCTGCCTCAACACTACGAGACAGAGGCGATGTGACATACATTCAAAGCAGCCTTTCTAGCAAAGCATCTCTGCTTTGCTAACATTTCATATTATGCAGATATATTCCTGCTGCAGGTGTGGGATAAACCCTCCTGTGTGCTTGGAAATGGTAGCCTGGAAGCACCTGTCTTAGTTCTGTATCAAACCAGCTGAACTACCCTCAGCACACGTTGTTTTCACTCATGCCACTGCAAAACGAGAATCAATTCTTGGCTTCACTGGGTGCTTCTCTGCCCAATGATTGCATCAAACTTTGGAACCGTGAGCTTCTTCAGAACATTCAGGGCACGTTCTGGAAACACCCTGAAAGAGAAAATAACATGAAATTAAGCATGAGATAGAAACTTAAATTATGGGAAAAAGTGGCACTGGAGGTGAGGGAAGAGTGGTCTGGGAGCAGAATGCATACACATATATGGACTGAGACTAAGTCTTAAACTGGGCGTTATTTCCAAAGAACACATAGCTCTCATCAATCTCTGACTAATTAAACTCCAGTCCCAGCCAAGTCTTGTTAGGACAGTTCCAATGCTGGGTATATGCTGGGCAGTATTTGGGTTGCAATACTGCTGGAGGATCCAGGAAGGCTCAATATTGTACAGATATAGGTGTGTATTACGTGCTTCATGCTCTGAAAAGCAGCAGGTCTAAGGAAGGATGAGATGTTAAAACTGAGGTGCAGTTTCCTCTCCTAGGATTCTTTCTCTTAAGAGTTATATGTCTCTGTCCCCCTGTCCCAAATTAAGACAGAAAAGCAAAGTTACCCTAAGGGCTTTGACAGCATTAGTTTTGATTTGTCGATGCTTCTGCAGACTTGCACTGTCAGCAAGCAGCTCTTGGAGATGCAAAAAACTGAAAAACTTTCCCACTGTCTGTTGTTGGGTTTTGCAAATAAGATATTACCAAGTGTTTCATGAAATACTAAAGCATTTAAATGAGACGTTCACTTAGTTGTTCTGACGTAAATTACAGATTTGGAACTTGAGCTCTGATAACAACACCTCCTCAGCAGAGCAGCTACACTGAATATTAAAGACGTGTGAGAGGAAAAATCTTGCTTTACATGGCAGAGAGCAGTAGAGCCCATTTGAAGCAAAGTCCCCAGCCTCCATGACCTCAATCTTTGGTGCTGACATGAAGAAACAAACACTAATAAGCAGCAGGTCCTCAGCTCTTTCTGGAATGATGCTGATTCAGAGAAACTGCTGTTTGCAAGCCCAAGGAAAATCATGATCTCTGAGGAAAAGGTGTTCTGTTCTCCCTCTGCTTCCTTATTGGCCTGTAGAATAGTTGAGCTCTTCACTGAGAACAGTTATCTGCAGCAAGTGGATTAGAAGGACCTATGAGAGGGCTCCAAAAAATCTTTGTGTGTGTTCTCGTTAGAAAGAACAACTGCTATTTCATTACCTTGTGATGTGTTCTTCTCATACTACAATATTTTAGATGGCTGGTTGTTTAATACATTATACTGTCTCCTGAAGACAATTACACATTATCTAGTTGCTATAGGCACACTGATGTCAAATCTGGATTAATAAGTATAACAATGTCCAATACTGAATATAAAATAAATGAAACTGGGCTGAATGTAAACTACTTCTGTGCAGCTGTCATTTCAGGGTTTCCCTATGCTGCCAAACTATATCTTTTAATATCACGAGTGCAAAATGCAGTTTCCCATAAAATTAAATTGATCTTCATTCAGATGTTACAAGTTTGATCTTCATATACTCAGGTTGTAAGCATTGTTGTTTCCACCCCCACTTTTTCATTTTCTTTTGCTACTTACATTTCAGAAAGCAAAGCAATATTTAGCTGTGGTGGAACAAAAACCATTTTCTGGTTGGTCACTATTCCTTCCATCAGAGCCTCTACAACCTCTTCAGTCTCCAAAATCTTTCCAATCCTGTAAAGGAAAGCACACATGTAAGAGCTGTGGTGGTAGAAAGGGGTAGTACAAGCTTCACAAGGATGCTTCACATATGCACAAACTCGGGTAATTCAAATGCAGCCATTATGTGGGTTAAAGGACACTTCTTTAGACAATTATACACACTGTTATTACACAGTCAGTTGCAATAGAAGGCCTGAAGCTGGGGATATTATGCAGTGCCCTGGTGCAAAGAAGGAAGGACAGGAACGCAGAGTTACCTTGTACTGGGGTTTTTGACAAATCCAGTGTTTATAAAAACCGGACAAAGGCACGTGGTTTTTATTCCGTCCTTTCCCAGGGTAGACAGTTCCTCTGTCAGAGCTTTATGAAATCCAACTGCAGCAAACTTGCTTGAGCTGCAGGAGGGGAAAAAAGCACAAATTAGAAGGCATAAATAGTATTTCTAACTCTCTACAACCGTAAATGGCCTAAACAATCATACAGTACAGGCTGGGAGGCAAAAAAAAAA